TGAGCAACATAGTGATAAACCCCACGAGCTCTGCTGTACCAGCTATTTTGTCTGAAGGGTGGCAGTGCAAGCACAGAGACCAAAAAAATCGTACACACAGCACAACGGTGTCATACAAATAGCTGGGGGGCATCCATCACACTGAGCACAACAAACAACTGCTCCCCTCTGAGACCTGCAGCAGCCACAGAGCCCTGCTGGGCCCGTCCAGGTGAGCTGCCAGCCTATGAAGGCTGCAGAGTGCAGCCCAGCACACCACGCTGCCATCCCTGGCTCTTTAGGGCACCAGCCCTGCTCCACCCTTACTTCACTCGGAAGCATTCAGCACAGAGCACCTACTCAGATTCTGCAGGTTCAGTTCTTTTCAGGCTTCTCCAAGTGAACAACACCCGTATCCTCAGGTCAGGAGGATGGTGTGGAGGAAAGAGCACTCCACAGAAGGAACAAAATGGGAAGAAGCACTCAACGCCAGCCTTCTGGCCTGCATTTATCACCATTTGAATGAACTGATTCCATCCTTTGATATATAATGCACAAATTTTGCTGCAAGGACAGACAAAATAGTCACACACTGAACTCAGCCACAGCACCTACACCCCAGGAGATGGATGCTAAGAAACTTCCCATCAGGTTTACATACCGTCAGGTGGTTGCTTTGTTGTTGTTGTTTTTAATTTTAATTTTTAATTTTATATTCATAGTTCCTCTCACATGCTTAAACTTGGTCCAGGTTAAGAGGATTTGCCAGTCATCAGCTGAGAAGGTAGCCTACATTTCAGTGAGGACAGCTCACACTCATCACACCCATCCTGCAAGCCTGACGTCTGTGGGCTGCAGCTCCTCCAAGACGAACACCCGTCCGTCCACCCAAGCTTCAGAGGTTTGCATCTAAAAATTCAGAGCCTTGAAAAGCAGCTATTATACAAACCCAGGAAGCTGGCAAAAAACCCCCAGCTACTTCTTTGTTACATTTACACCCTGCTGTCAGCTACATAAGTGGTTAAGTGATTCAAGACTGCAAAAATCCATGCTAAGCTGTACGTTCAGCAGAGTTTCTACATGCTGGTTGCACAGCACCGAACGCTACAGTGCGACCAGCTTGTCCCACTGCTGCTAACCTGCAGCACATCCCTGTTCCATTTGTATGCTATTCAGCAGGGGATGAGTAAATGTGTGTATCCTGACCCACTTACCAAATTCCAATACCAGAACTTTTTCAAATGCAGGTCTTTGAAGGGATGTTATTGTGAGTATCACACCAACTAACTAGCTTAAGAGAGCTCTCTTATTTCTATTCCTCATACAAGAGAATGCTTCACATAGACACTCGCACTGTAATTCCCTTCAATGTTAAAACCTACAGTAAACTAGAGGGAAATCACAATTCAAATAAGTTTTAAAGTGAAAGAGAAAGTTAGAAAAACTGTAAGAAATACCCAACGTTGCAGGCAGTGCTTTATGACTGTCATAAATCTGTGCTGATAAAGCTCTCAAAAGCAGCACTAAATCCTCAGACTAAGTGAACTGGTGTGGGTAGCACCAGGCCACCAAAGATGAGTTTTGTGCATAACTTCTAAAAGCTGCCTCTGTGCCTGGCTGAGAAATCCCCCTTCACACCGACCTCCATGCACAGCCCGTGTGAACAGCTGAGCTGGGTTACAGACAACAGGAATGAGCAAGAACACCCACCAAGGCACCCAGCTCCCCGTGCTGTCACAAGTTACACCACTACGGGCTGATGGCCTGAAGAAAACCCACATAAAATGGTTGGATCTCACCGATTTATAGCAGGCACTTTTACGTAATATAATAGAAGATGGTAATGATAAGATCAGCAAAGCATCAAAGGCCACAGCATGTGCACTGCCCTGAGCAACATAATGGGTTAAAAAAAAAAGTGGAAATACCTGCAAGGCAGATGTGAGAGCTCAGCTCCAGCCGTACGACAAGGAACAACAAGTTTCAGACACCACAAACGGATTTCCCACCAACACACACAAACACAACACCCACCGAATTTCAGGCACTGTAACCCCAGACTGCTCACCAACGCTGACTTCAAGTAAAACAGCTGCAGTCTGAGGAAGAAATAGCTACTATAGAATCCACTTTTGAGACATTATATCACCTTTCATTGGCTAACATGTAACCTTGCAGGGTTATGTAACTGAGCAACTGAAGCAGCTAGCTGTACAGTATTACATAGTATTTGACACAACTGTATTAGCCCAAAGCATAAAACCGTAACAGGGGCTTTCTGAGCTCAAACACCTTATCAACATTCCATTATCAAAGCTTGATTTACAGAACGTTTCGATTCTGCAAGCTCTGAGAACAGAATAAATCAAATGCGAGAGGCACTGCAAACTTCAGCACACATACAGTAACGGCTCCAAGAAAAAGTGAACACGCTTCCATTTGTGCCCTTGTTCCCACCAAGATTTATCTACGCTACATTTAAAGCTTTGAAAACAACGATCCATCACGGATCATGCAAGAAACACCGCCTGCCTATCAGAGCAGAGATTAACACAACGTCCAGAACCATCTTGTTCATGCCCCACATCTTACTAAAATCCATGAATCAATGACACCTGGCATTATATTTACACTAAAACTCAGCTTCAAACGTCTTCTCTGGAGTACTGGCTGGATTTAGCTGCATTTTCTTCTAACAGGGACTTTACAGAAACGGAGTTCAAACTGCACCCTTAGCTCCCCACAGCACAAGAGCACGTGGAAGCATCTGTGATCAATGGTTCTGCAGGAGTGACTGTAAACAGAGCAGCACTCCCAAAGGGCAGCTCCCCTTTGTATGCAGGCGCAACTGTTTGCCTATAGGACGGATCGTGATCCCATTTGTTACCTCGGGAAGAGGAACACGGCGATAGAATTAAAGGTTAAGAGGTTTAAAAAAAAAAAAAAAAAAAAGACGTGTCAGGTTAAACAGGCATTATTTCACAACAGCGCAGATTGCTGAGCTGCGGAAGGGGAACAACACGGCGGCTAGTTGGGGTTCTCTATGCAATGAACCAGCACCAAAGCGGGGCTCTCGGGGCACTGAACCAGCACCAAACTGGGGCTCTCAGGGCACTGAACCAGCACTCAACGTGGGCTCTGTGAACTTCCGTTAAGTCAGAGCAGGACCTGAACCAGATATGGTGATGGAGAGAGCCCAGCTTGCACCCAGCACGCTTGGGATCAAGGCTGAGTCCACACAGAACGCTGAATCTGAGCCTCCAGCAGCACAAGCGGTAGAGAGACAAAAACTAAAACAAATAAACGCGAAAAAAAAACCCACAAAACCAAAGTAAAGACAAAAAATACTTCCAAGATAACGACGGTAACAATAAAAACAACAAAGCCGCGCCGGGCGCTACGCAAAGCGC